TAACACAGTTTTTTTTAAGAGATAATCATGTACTGTGTATAATTCTAAATAGGCAGCTGTTGTTAATTTATTTGAGAAAATTTTTTCAATTTTCCTCCAAAATAAATATTTTGTGTGTTACATTGAGTTTTGACAGGTTGTATGGTATGTAGAAACGATTGTTTGCAATATAAAAACCATCTAAATATTGTCATATTGTATAAAGATGAACGTTTTACGTCCGCTCTAGGTAAGATATTCGAACGAATGGAAACTAAGCATTTATCTAATCGTTCTGAAGACAGTTTCTTTCATAGTCAAAGTGCGTTTTTAATCTGTGCCAGAGTTCCTTGCTGTGCTTTATCTGTTAATCCCTTGCAAGAAGGTACAAACACACACGCGTAAATAAGTATTATTCTACGCCCCTTCAAAACTTGTAATGTTCTAATATCAGTATGAAATAATCTTCCTGCTGATGTTGGTCAAATAAAGTACAGCATATCAAAGACAACTCATGGTTGATTGATAGGTTATGCTTGTAAGAATCAATCAATAAATCTGATTATCAGTCATATGTCTAATCAAAGAAACTTACTCGTGTTTCTTCAAAGCTAATAAAAATGTACATTTGTATATCAATGTTCTTTATTTTGATATATATTCAATATTCCAGCACAAAGTTAACATAAATTACTCATATAAGGTTAGTTTTTATATGAATTTGTCAATGTCTCTCTGGAAAAATTTAAGATTGTCTAAATAGTGTATACAAACATTATTTTTATGCCGTGCATCTTTTTGTAATCCAGTTTTATTTTAACCAATTCAATTGAAAAATTCGCTCAAAAAATTATATAAAATGAAAAAAATGATATTCCAAAATAATTGCTTACAACTTATAGCCTTTTTCGAATATATGTTTTTTTATTACAAAGACTAGAAATGTTATGTCAAGTTATAACAATATATTGTATTCAATAAAATCACATACATTTTATATATCAAAAATAATTGACCCATCTTGAACGGTTTTAAGGGTTTGAAACAATTCAGACATTTTTTCATGGAATAAAATGTATATATACTGGTAATCAAAACGATAAGAGTTCATACTTAGATCAAATGCTTGCTGAAAATGTATATGAAAGAATATATTTTTATCATTAATCAAAACTTTTGAATCATACATGTTTTTAGGCGCAACTTAAAAAGTTGAGTTTTGACAGGATCAAACGTTTGATATTTCTCTAATCATTGCAAAATAGAAAAGAAAAAAAATGTTTGAAATTGCGTTTCATGAAGAACATAGATAACTCATCATACAATGTAGAAGTTCTGAAATGTCTGAATCTGGCAAATAAATTCTTAATCAATGAAATATTGTGTTAAGGTAAAATAAGGTTATAAATTTTCTGCTGCGACATATTTTTGATCTTGAAAATTAACCAATAACTGTTAAGCATCAATTATATATATATTAAACATAACATTTTTATTAATCTTATTTACTATTTTTCAATTCATTGATTTCTTGGATAGCTGCTGAATTTGACAAACACCACTGTAATATTTTTACAATCATAAGCCTCTTTGACTTAATATGATATATTATACTTGCGGTCTAAAGAGACAAATAAATTCTAAACATATGCTGATCAATCAATTACTTATGGATTTGCATTATTTTTGGTTATATTAACAAAATATTTGCAAGTATATTTTAATTATCTTTTTCTTTAAAATTGACTATTAGATGTTTTATCATTATTATTATTATTATTATTATTATTATTATTATTATAATTATTATTCTTATTATACTTTGTTTTAAATTTAGTCCTATTCTTTGTATGAAAGTTAAATCTTAAAAAAAATTATTTGAGTAGAAACATTTACTTAAAATACATTGCTGTCGTATCCATGGGTTGTATAACAACGGTCAGAGACGTTTATTCAAGCCGCGTATTTCTAACATTTCACTAGCTCATTAGTATTCTTGTATCAAGATGATATCGCTGATTGCAATGAATCAATCGTCATGTTATGCTTTTCGAACCCCTAGAACATGGTTCTACGGTGCTATACAGGTACATTTGCAGTATTATTTAATCTTGGGGCCACAACTTATTATCTTGAGGCCTCAAGATACCATTTTGTAGCTTCAACATATTATCTTGTTATCTCGAGGCCACAATATATATTATCTTGAGGCCACAAGATATTATCTGGAGGCTACAAGATAATCAATTGTGATCACAAGTTTAAAATAGATACTGCATATGTCACCTCTATTCCACCGTATTGTTTCAGTAGTTTGCCATATTCTACTGTCGTTCTATATCTGTTGACCTGTTGAAATCTTTATCTAAACGACTGGATTGTTCCAAGGTAGCAATTTATTAAAATATTGGCAGAACAATAAGGCAATTCAAACGTTTTTTTATTATTCCTGTACATCTGTTATATTCATAAATTGAGTAAAGGCGTTTGAAGATGCATCTTAAGAGACCATTAAGACATTAACACGGCATCCGTTTTGTTTCCTTTTTTTTAAATTTTGTTTTACAAAAGATAAAACATTTGTTTTATTCATTACAATTCATATACAACTGATCTTGTGTAACAAACATTTCTTGATTCATGTTTTGATTAGAAATTTTCGGATGGATTAAGAGCTCATCTTTGTTTTATTTCTATTTTTCTTTATCAACAAAAATGCTTTTAGTCATTAACTTAGTAACGACAACATTTTGTTGTACTGAGGTTGATGTTTAATCTAACAATATTAAGACATCTTCATTGGCTGGAAACCATATTCGATTTAATTTCGTACGTACAGCGGCTTGATTTTGAAACATGTAATTCTTTTGAGAGAATAAATTTGAATCGCATTTTTCACTTTATTCGGCATTGACGTGTATGTTTAGAAAAAAAGAAGTTTAATCAAATCAAATTAACATATTGAGTCGGGCACATGCGATTAGTCGAATTTGAACCACTTGTCACTCACCGCTGAGTTCGAATCCCTCAGGAACTTTAAATTATTTCATGTGAGGAAGATATCCAGCTAGCTTGTTGTGCCTTAAATAATATGTTGAGGGACCCCTGAGGTATTCCTTCATTAGTAAAAGCTGAAAAGTTGTAATATTGGTGCAACGTAAAACCCAACAGACCAACCATGACATGGTAGCTTAAAACCCCGTAATATTATTACGAAAACATTGATACATGTAACTGAAAGTGACACAATCTTAAGAAATTGCACATATAGCGCAAATAATAAATATTGTTTAGACTTTCATCTATTCAATACTGAAACCGACTTTGATACATATGAGGACATTCATTAAAAAAGTGAAAACTTTATTAGCGAAAACAATCATGGTTTATTTATTCAAAACTGACTTTGCACGATCAAACATTAGAAGATGATTAAGTGTTATCAAGGACAAGAGTACAAACATTAAATCTATATCACAATCGAACTAAAATAAATTTGTATAAACTAAATCTACATGTAATTCAAATTGTTGTTGAATCCGTAGACATTTAGAATATTACTTGTCTATTTATATTTATCTTTAATAATACTGCAATTTGTAACACAGTTTTTTTAAGAGATAATCATGTACTGTGTATAATTCTAAATAGGCAGCTGTTGTTAATTTATTTGAGAAATAATTTTCAATTTTCCTCCAAAATAAATATTTTGTGTGTTACATTGAGTTTTGACAGGTTGTATGGTATGTAGAAACGATTGTTTGCAATATAAAAACCATCTAAATATTGTCATATTGTATAAAGATGAACGTTTTACGTCCGCTCTAGGTAAGATATTCGAACGAATGGAAACTAAGCATTTATCTAATCGTTCTGAAGACAGTTTCTTTCATAGTCAAAGTGCGTTTTTAATCTGTGCCAGAGTTCCTTGCTGTGCTTTATCTGTTAATCCCTTGCAAGAAGGTACAAACACACACGCGTAAATAAGTATTATTCTACGCCCCTTCAAAACTTGTAATGTTCTAATATCAGTATGAAATAATCTTCCTGCTGATGTTGGTCAAATAAAGTACAGCATATCAAAGACAACTCATGGTTGATTGATAGGTTATGCTTGTAAGAATCAATCAATAAATCTGATTATCAGTCATATGTCTAATCAAAGAAACTTACTCGTGTTTCTTCAAAGCTAATAAAAATGTACATTTGTATATCAATGTTCTTTATTTTTGATATATATTCAATATTCCAGCACAAAGTTAACATAAATTACTCATATAAGGTTAGTTTTTATATGAATTTGTCAATGTCTCTCTGGAAAAATTTAAGATTGTCTAAATAGTGTATACAAACATTATTTTTATGCCGTGCATCTTTTTGTAATCCAGTTTTATTTTAACCAATTCAATTGAAAAATTCGCTCAAAAAATTATATAAAATGAAAAAAATGATATTCCAAAATAATTGCTTACAACTTTTAGCCTTTTTCGAATATCATTTTTTTATTACAAAGACAAGAAATGTTATGACAAGTTATAATAATAAATTGCATTCAATAAAAAACGCATACATTTTATATATTAAAAATATTTGACCCATCTTGAACGGTTTTAAGGGTATGAAACAATTCACACATTTTTTTCCAAGGAATAAAATGTATATATACTGGTAATCAAAACGATAAGAGTTCATACTTAGATCAAATGCTTGCTGAAAATGTTAGATCAAGAAAACACCTGTAGTAGGTTTGATTGTGGTTAGATATATTATACCTTCTTGCAGCTATTGGAAATTGTGGCCACTCTTCTTAACCAGGCTACTTACGTTTTCATATCGGATATTGGTTGCAGAGAGTAAGCCGAATTTTTATTCTCTCTCAGATAATTTCAGACAATGCTAAGATACAGAGAAACAAACTACTACTAGTAAAGGAAATTAGTTGTGTTAAAGTAATGTTTTGGATTATAGCGCAGAAATTTATGCTTGAAACATGAAGTTTTATAAAATAACTATTTGAAAACATGGATGAATATTTTAATTCAACTTTATCAACGCATAATGCGGTTGATATTTCCTACTTATTGCATCTTTCATCACAGTTTCCACTTTATGGAGGTTATCCTGAAGTGTTTGGATACATTCTTCCGCCAGTGATAGTGTTGACATTAGTCACTAATTGTCTCGTTATAACAGTGTTGATTAAGAAGGAAATGCGCACCCCAACTAATGTTATATTAGCTGGACTAGCTTTCAGTGATATGATGTGCGGAGTGATAATTTTTCCTGTATTCTTCAACTTTTTTACTCTAGGAAAATATAACGAAATAGTGCCGTTTGACTGGTGTCTCCCGTATCAAGTATTAATAGTTCTAGCTTCAGGGTTTCATAATATATCTGTGTTACAGACAGTTGCCTTGGCAACACAAAGATATATTTTCATATGTGTGCCGAAAGCGCGTTCAAAATTAAATTATTTCAATGCATTAAAAGTAGTCGTTATTTTACATATCATCGGACTATTTGCTCATGCCGGAAGGTTTCTTGATACTTACTTTGTACCAGCCTTTGCTTATCAGTCAATTTCACCAGACTATTATTTTAACTCAAACAATATCGGATGCATAACAGTTTTCCGTGACTGGGTCAAACCGAATTTGGAGTTATACGTTAATGTATATTTCATACTGCGTGCAACGTGCTTTGGAATTTTGCCATGCATCATTTTAACAATTTTAACTACGTTGTTGATAAAATCAATGACGTCACAAAGAATGAAGAGAAGACGTTTATTTAGAGGAAGGGGAATATGTGATGGTCTTAATCAACAAGACAAACAAAACGTGAGGACAACTTTACTGTTGATTGTGGTGGTTGGTATACATTTATTCTGTGAAATTCCTAACTCTGTGGTTCTATTTATAGACGCCGTTGAAGCTGCAATTGATTTGTATAATGTGTCGAATGCAAAATTAATTGTAATAAGCATATCTAATATAATGGTGATATTAAGTTGTCCAGTGAATATTTTCATCTATTGTGGAATGAGCATGAAATTCAGAACAACGCTGAAACAAATGTTAAAGTGTAGATAAAGATATCGTGATAAAAGAAAACGTTGACTCATATGTGCAATGTACTTTTTTGAGGATAACATTTGCTATGAAATGTGTCACATGTGCTAATAACAAAAAGGATTCAAGTTAAAAAAAATAAACCGGTATTTGACTTTTTGTATTATGTATTTATTCGGATTTTATCCTAATACACTACAATGTATCACTCACTTAGTTATGACTTTATATACATTATTTATTCATCTGTGATTAAAGGCTTATTGTGGCTATAAAATACTTATCTTATCCTTTTTGTTTGTGTTGTAACAGTTTCCGGAGAGGAACTTATAAGCCTTTCAGTTGAGAGCCATGTTTTAAATTTGTTAACTTATAGTGTTTTACTATTTTGATAAGAATTACAAAATACGTTTTGCTACTTTAATGACAAAGTATTTCACAATCAACGCTGTGCTTTATTTTTACATATGAAAAACACCTTACTTGCACTAAACTCATAATCAATATATTACAAGTACACATTTTCCTTAAAACAAAAAATAAATTTTAAGTTAAATGTGCATTGAAACGCATTATTATAATATTCAAATATTTGGTACGTTTGTTTTCGTTATCGTTACCATTCGCAGTATTTTAAAAGATCAATTTAGAAATCTATTATACTGATAAGTTATTTTTAATAATTATTTCTACTAGAACCATATTTTCTTAATAATAATATATAAATTATAATTTTTCATTTTTTTTTTCAAACACGCAAAAATGAATTCAAAAAATGAAATAATAATTATTGTAATCATTAACACGCTACAGGTGTAAAATAAACAACAACAACAACAACAGAGCACACAAAAAAGAGATTCCTGTGCTATAAAATTGTTAAGTAGAAATTCCTTATTTATTCATCCCTGTGTTTTCGAATTCAGAAATTATAACATGTTAGACAGTAGAAGAACACTCAAGTCAAAATAAAATCGCATAACGATTGACGAATACTGTGCAAGGACTTGCTCGATAAATGCAGTTCTGAGCTGAATTGAACAAAATAAAAAGAAAAGAAGAATAAAAAAAATCATGAATTAATGTTTTCTTTCATTTAATTATCTATTTATTTAAAAGTCCTACGTTCAAGTAATTATCTTATTCATTCATATTTTGACAACATTTTTTATATTATTCAATTCCTTCGTATGTTCGTTACACCTTCTCACTAACTGACTGATAGGTTTATCTATTAATTTTCATATTTTAATCAATTAATTAATTAATATATGTTTGATTAATGTTTTTATTTATTAATTTATCTAATCATTTATGTATTATTTCTGCTGTGTTATGTTATGTAATATTTTATAACAATCGACTTCTAACAGGAATAAAAGCAAGCTCTATTTTATAGATATACTGACTCACTTGGACATAGAAACGCTTCTCTACGACTAACTGTTCGTAGGTAATTTCACAATAAAAAAAAGATATATCCTCGGCAGTAAAAACATTTCATCGTGTAAAGATTTCTATATCAATCTCTAGTAAATAGATCGGTTTCATATAGAAAAGTAATTAATTAATTTACTTTCATATTTAAACTTACATATTTGAAGTGAAGTTGAAAATACTATGAAGAAGGATATATTTCCAGATATAGTTATTTAACTGTTGGCATTTTGTAACATTTTAAAATTTTGTCTGTTTCCCTTTTAAATGACAGGAATAACGACACATAAATGCTGAACAAATAAATAAACAATCTTTTATAAAACTTTTGCTTACGTTTTCAATGAGTTTTGGGCTTCCCCGATATAAACTCGTTTAAACCAATTTACCTTTAGTTTAATGGAAAACATTTTCTAGTAAATTGCAGATGGGTTATGTTAACATGCATTAGACAGTCTTTATCGAATGAATTATTCCTCACCGCCTGAATACATTTTATTGTGACAGACAATTATTTACAGTAAACATATATAATTACGCACATTACTTTTATTAGACACATAAATCGTCTGTAACATAAATATTCTGTTACACTGTCTGAAGAAGAAAATAATAGCTGTGTATAATTGAGACAGACAGGGTATACAAAGTTATATGAAAAAAAGTTTAGTCATTTAGTTAAATGTTTTTGATTAACCATTCCCATAAAAAACCGCTTCTTTGTATAAATTTTGCCACAGGAACACTAGATATCTTTGGTTTATTTTTGGCGGGACACTGTTGCATTTGATGTTTATTTACAATCATACGAGTAGAGAGTATTTGATGAGCTTTATAGATGCAGTATTGTTATACTTTCATTAATTTCAAAACCATACTGGGCATAATTCATCATTTGTAAAATAATCAACTATATGTAAAATATATTAATATTTCCAGTTCCATTAGTCAAAACATATTTCCAGCAGTTTTCAGCTTAATTGTTAAGAATATAAGACTGTAACACTCACTCCGCCTTCGACAGGAAATATAAAAGAATAAATAAATTAAAGCAATACCAAAAAAACAAACAAGAGAAAATTTCTCCATTGATATTAAATTAATTTGATTTACTGATTTATATTATCTCTGGCAGAACTAGAAATGTATCCACGGATGCCCCAACATTCATATAAGAATAGACCATATAAGCATTAGTATAGAGTCAGGACAGCCTCTTACCAATAGAATGTTAGCTGACCAACTTCAAATTTGCAATTGAATATCCTCGAAGTTTAATTTTCTCAAGTTCTTTTATAAAATTCTGCAAGATAAGGGTTAATGACTACAAACGTCTTACGATACTGGCAACAACCGTCAAGCGGTATTGTTGACAATCATCGAGCGAAATTGTTGACAACCTTCTAGCGATACTGCTGATAACCATCTGGCGAAAATGCTTGCTGACAACATTCTTGCTGTACTGCTGACAACCATGTAGATGTATAGCTGATAACCATCTAGTTAGAAAATATAGAAATAAGCACCAGAAACTAAATATTCGCGAGTTGTTTGGATATGGCATTAGCGTGCATGTGATTGAAAAATCGATATAGCATTTAACAGATATCCTAAGAACTTTTATTGCCCTCATAAAACCAAGGTCTGCTAGATAATCTAATACAATTATTGCACCATTTGATTCAATAGCTTTACAATTAGTAGTTTAGAGCATATCGTCATAAAATCTATATAAAGAAATATATTCTAGCACTTATTTGAAACCAGGTTGAATTTCATCAGTAAATTAGGCAAAGAAAATGGTAATGGCACGTTGCGGATTTTATAATTAATTATGAATATGTGTGCACTTTGAAGGTAAAATACATGTAAATATTTGGTTTCATTTTTAAAAAGAAAGAATATTATGGTGATAATCCATTGTAATGAAAATAAAACAGTTAATGATATATTTCAAGTTTGAGTGTAAAACGATATCATCTTTGAAACCAGTCATATTTTATTTTATAATTCACTATTAAACAGCATCTTCACTTTTAAACGGTAAATAACCACTACCTTCAATGAGCAGCTCAATAAAACTTAGCTGGCATCATTTTAATATCCACAATTCTGACTTTCTTTATGGATTTATATGTGTTTTATCTGCAAAATTAAATGATAGCTGCAGACTCGATTTAATTGAGTCTGTACACGAGGGATATTGACAAAGTGCATCATCCCTTACGCCCCCTAGCACCGGCTTGAGCGGTACTCAATTTTCAACACATAAAAGTTCAAAGTAAAATCTGGGCAAAGCAATTTAACAAATTCAGCAGGTTATAGGTGAAATATATCTCGAAGAACCAGGCATACCGTTGTTACATATAAGTTCTTTTCTCTGTCAGATTTTGTTGATACAGTGCATTCCTCGTCATAGAACATGAATGATTAATGATATTTAGAAATGAGAAGTTCATCTTTCATCAAATATCAAATAAGGACTCATAACAAATTCATACGTTATGATATCGGTACTACTGGAAGCTGCAAAAATACCTTTGAAGAAATTAATTTAAGCTTATAATTGTTAGATTACAACCCCGTATTACATTGAACAATGCCCGGGTTGTATAAATAAAATAAATGATCTGTTCTGTTTACAAAGTGATACAAAGATACGTATTTTGCTGAAGCTGTAAAGACAGGGGAGAGTGGATCCTGAAATGAGGAGTATAATGGTTGATGTAAGGACTTAGAAATATATTTTTCTAGTCATACCAATCACGAATTTACTAGGAAACGTTGCCATCGTCTTACATTTCCCTCCCTGCCCCCTTTTTATACAACCAACAGTTTTGAGTCTGGTCATGATTGCATAAATATACAGTCTGGTCTGAGGGATAAGGGCTGGGGAGTTCACAAGACGATTAATTCCATGACTTTCCATGATTTTCAAAAACTGAACCTTATATTGATATCAAGACCATTCATGCAAAATAATTTAATTACCAAATCCAAAGCTACAGCGGAGCGCATGACCAACTTATCACTGTACCTCTAGATCATCGCATGATATGTTGATATTGGACAAGTTAAAAGAACATGAGAACTATTGAGATCATTGAAACAAGTGACACAATGATAAAAATAGAACAAACAATGACATCAGGCCAATCCAGATCATCAAACCTATTGCGAACTAATTTCTATTTTCAGAGAGAAAAAAACAAATATGCCTTCCTAGTTCTGTTGATCGTTTGAGCTAATCACATACAGAAGATAAGACGTCCAACTGTCTCTTCGTTTGGCAAAGAGAGTGATAACTTTAGATCAATGTATAAAGAATGTTTTTCGTCAGAGAACATCAAAATAGGCCAAATTGAGAGTGTTACAGGTTTCTTTTGATTGAGTTTGTTCATAGACGCTACTGAAAACGCAAGCTACCGTATTTTGTTTCAAAGCAACGGCTTGAGCAGGACATAAAATAGTAAAATTTTGAATTAAGAAACATCCGAAGATGTGTTTACAACCATCTACCTGTAGATTAAAACAATAACACTCATTTCATTCTGTCACCGTGGGGTTTGTTTGTTTTGTGTTTTTTTTGTTGTTTCTGTTATAAATATCTAGCTTTAAAGCTTTGAAATGCAAACCCATAATGCACATTAGGCACTAGGCTCGAAAAGCGATAAACTAATTTACCTTTATTATACATAATCAAGCATACGTCAACAAATTAATATAAACGTACTTCAAGTTTTAAGAATTATCTATTGGTATACAATTTTCTACGCAATGTTGTTTACGATGTCTTAAGACAGACAGCTTTTTGTTGTGATTTATC